TCCAATGCACAACTTTACTGAACCAGCGAAGCGATAGAAAAAAACGACAGCACAGCCGCCTTTACATAACTTAACTTATAAATTCATTACCAAAGAATGTTCAGAGGAAACAAACACAACTGGGGAGGCGAGACAACAGCGTTAACAAACCGAGACGATTTACAATGCAGGAGAACGTTTGGGCCACAAAGACAGAGAAGGGAACCCTGCTGAGAGGGGGAGGTCGTCTACTGCAAAGTTGACTAAGTGTAAAGATGAATGAATGGACAACGTGACAAGCTCCATGCGAATGCTTCCGATCACAACTCTTGCGATGTTACTCGTTATCTTCGAGGCTGAGATGCGTAATCTTGGAGAAGTCGAACTCTTGCGTCGTTCCACGTTGGAAAATATCGAGTACATCCTATAATTACCGAGTATAAGTCATTCTTATGCTGTGGCAGCAGCAAAAACTGAAAGAGTATATCGTTATTCGTCAAAGATCCTCGAAAACCTTTGTTTACAATAAAAAGTTCAGTATAAACCACGAAAAACATACAACCGCCTAAAGTTACGCTATTGGGTCAGTAAAAGTCAGTGACTGTCACAAGAAGGAAACATGGCTCGAAATGACTTCGAAAACTTGGGAATTAATTGCATGACAACACAGAAACAGAAGAAAGAATGAGAAAAAAGGGTTCAACAATCCGAGAACCCATCCGGCTTCTCAATCTGATGTTACCATGAGTGGGTGGTTAAGAAAGGGCTTTGAGAAACGGAAAGTGAGAAGCATACCTTGCATGTTGTTTCGAAATGAGTTGTGGGATCATACGATCGTGAAATGAAGATCTGCGATTCGTGACCCATGTCTGTTGGCTCATAAACATCTGAGACCGAGATAAACCTATAAAACATAATTTTAAGCATTGTAGACTGTCAAGCAAAGCTTTTTATTTCAGCAGTAGGTCTTGAATCACTTACTTCTCAGTTATAGTGCCCAGCAGCTGTAATCCTGGAAGAATTTCGGCTTCTGGATTGCCTGTCTCCACTGTAGTGGACACCATAGCAACAAACCATCCTTTTGGTGTTACCATATTGGTGTTGGAGCAGCAAGATATATAGATATCTATAAAAAAAGCTTTGAGAGACATAGAGCAGATCCCAATGCGCTCACCAAAATGTCGTCCAACTTGTTTTTGCGGAATTATGATTTGGCAGGACTGAGCGTCATTCGTTCCCGGAATCGGATGATTTAGAAGACAGATAGCACGGACAACTTGTCCGACCTTCTTCACTCTGTCCATTGCATAAGATGGATCGCAATAGACCTAAAAACTTGGTGGTGAGAACTAGGACAGCTATAAGGCGAAGATTCGACTCGAGGGCAAACACAAAACTATAGCAATAAGCTAAAATCAAAAAAGAAGAATTTCCACATTACCTGCTTCCCACGAACAGTCTCATCACCACACTTCACACCAACTACTTTGCCATTCTCTATGACTAAGCTGTCTACAGGTTTGTCCAACATATAAGTACCTCCATAAATTGCAGACAAACGAGCAAAACCCTGCAAGAAAAAACTAGTTTTCCAGCCCTTTTTCAAGCAAAAAATATATACCTGAGGTAGCTCTCCGAGACCATATAATGGATACAGATATGGTGATTTTCCATAACGAGCCAATGAGTCCGAGTATAGTCGAATTTTGTCGACAGTAGGCCCAAATGGCTGTTGCTTATAACTAAAATTATAAATTAAGACTCTAAAACCACACCAAAAATGGAAAA